AAAATCATAATTTTTCAGGTACCATACCATTTTACTAATACATCTTATTGGATGGATTTGTGTAGTGTCGTTGATCCACTTCCCAAAAGAATAATTTATAGACCTACTTAAAACTATTAACTAGTGGTAAGCAGGGTCGTTCCGCAACGACGGCAGTCAACCGCTCAAAATCTGATTAAAGTTCAGAAAAAGAAAGAAAACAGTTGAACAAATTGTCACTTGGAAGAGTGAGAATAGTCACTTGACAGATTGAAGAGGCAGAAGGGTCAATCACCTTTCTACCTTTATGATCCAGTTTTGATTCAAATATTCCTGTAGTGTATGATTAATTGTTCGATCAGGCACTTATTTATCTTTATAATTCCTTCCGGACAAAATAAAGAGTCCTAGATTATGAACCCAGTCAGACTATTCTTTAATTTAAGCCATTGGGTTGTTAAGCCCCTTTATGATTGCCTATGCCATTCACCTAACTTCCATTGATATCTGGAACTGCATGGTAGATTTCCTCCAGTGTCATAGACTAGTTAAGCAGTTCTAAGGTTATGCTTCCCCTTCCAGATCTTCATAACCATACAAGCACATTTAATTAAGTGGTCAAGTTAATTAAAAGGTTATTAAATTACTTATCTAGGCACAATACCTCATCATGGAAACTGAATCAAAACCTTCACATAAAGATAGTAGGGATTGAACCCTTAACTGAGTTAACTACTCATGCTTATTGAGTTAAGCATGAGAGCAACCAAGTACAAAAGATACGACATTAATCTAAATCAAAAGGTTAGAGGAAAGAAAGGGAATATGGTAGCCGGGATTGTTTCTGTTTGTTCACTATGGCGAGTGGCGTTCGCCACTTGACAGAGTGACAGTCTGCCTTGTTCCTGCTACTACCCTGTTTCTAACCAACTAACTACCACCTAACTACTGTCTTTTGCACTAAATCTAACTACCCAATCTGTTGTTTTTCCTACTGCTATTGGCTGGTTATTTATGGAGATTTGGAGAGGTTTGGATTGGTGGAGTTCTGGCCTTCTTCTCTGCAGCCAAACAGGTGAGGCAGCAACTTTCAGCAGTAGAGATTTGTTTATTCTGCAACTTGCCAACCAGGCAAGTTGCAGTCTTCTCTTTGCCTACTCTTTCTATTCAGGCGCAATTAGCCACCTTCTACTCATCATTGCTGCTTCTTAGTCTTTTTCTCCGGTGCAGCTTCTCCAATTTTCAGCTATACATCTCTATTTCTTCATTCTTTAATCCTCAGCAGCCCAACTAGCAGCAGTAGCAAGCAGCAGCATGCTTCCTTCCATCATTGTGTCTCAGCCTCCAATTCAGCCTGAATCTTCTGCCCTTTTTCTTCCTTGTTTCCTGGGTCAATTGCTATGCCATTGCTCACCCTTCTGCAGCAGCCAATCCATCAACTCAGCAGCAGCATTAGTTGGTAAGTAGCAGAGTTGCAGTTGTTGTTTATCACATTTTCTCCCTCTTTCTCTTCTTCCACTTGCAACAAAAACAACTTGCAGTGATGGTAAAGCAATTTCCTTCCTTGGGCACCAAGATTTTAGCTCGTGGATCCTCTTTGATTGACAACAGCAACAACTTTTGCAGCAACAATCTGGTAGCAGGGCAGCTGCCCTTCTCCCTCTTAATTGAGTGTGCTGCTGTAGATTCTTCTAAGTTGTGATCATCTGCTGCCATTCTTCCTTCCTTAGCAAGGATCTCTCCACTATCTTCAGCTCTGATCGACCTTCCAACAGCTCAATTTCCAGCAGCTTCCATTCCAGTCCATTCTGGTGCCTTTTTGTGCAATTTGGCCCTCATTTTTGCTGATTTTTCACATTATCCCTCTGAGATACCTGAACTGCAAAATCACCCCAAAAATAAACTAATTCTAACTAATTGACACTAAATTATAAGTAGAAATGAGTAAGTAATACCTGCTAAAATGGTATATATTTTACTGTCATCAGATACCCCCAAATGTGAAGTGTTGCTTGTCCTCAAGCAACATACCCAAGCTTAGAGTTTTACTGATCCTCTAGCAAATAGATTAAAACTACATTCCTACTGACCTAGACACCGAAAGACTGACTCAGAGTGAAGAAGTAATATTTTTGAATTTTTATGGATAAAAGTAATGACAGTGATTGAAAAAGAATGTGGCTAAATGAACAGAAGTGAATGCAACAGTGTATCAATGTTGGTCTTAGATTTAAGTCCCTTACTGGACATATTATACATCATTGTTCATCACAGGAAAACAGTATCACAGTTCTTCAGTGTGTGTGAGCATATATCACAGCCAGAGTTCTAGTTTTACCTATATCCATTCTAAGATTTAATCAATTTAAGAACAAATGGACATTATTGTGATCAATACCTATTTCCTGCATGCCATCAACTAGGGTATTCTTACTGAGGTTTTTAGATTCTAAGGACTTCCTCACAGATTCTGCAGCAACATTGACTGCACCTTATTTCTTCCTCAGCCCTTTTTCTCCTTGTCCATATGGCTTTTCTTCTGGATCTTTCCCACTTAGAATCCTACCCAGGGCATATTTCCACTTAGTTATTTATTCATAGTGGCTCAGCAACTTAGAACATTTCACTCAGAGCATATTTCCACTTACTTTCTATAGTGATTTCTCACAGTGACTCAGCAACTTAGGGTAGTTTATTCATTTTTCTCATATTTCCTCACTAGGCCTGAGGACTCGCTACTGGTTTGCCAAACCTAAACACTCGGGGGTATTATTGCCTCATTGGACAGTCTTCGTAACTTCCCTCATTTTAGAATTTTTCTTTTCAGCTCATTTCAACCGCCTACCATTCCCCTTCCCAAGGTACTTAGGCTTTTACCGACCACCATGGGCTCTTATAGAGTCTGCCATGATGCGAAGGGTTGCCTTAGTCTTTTCTCAGAATTACAGTCCCCCTAGCTAGGTTTCAGACAAGTTGACTCCAGTATAAGATCACAACAATGTAATTAGGCATTTAAATTTTAGCATTAAGTTCAGAACTTTCACTATGGCAAGTGACATATTGTGCTCGAGAAAGTGAAGAACTATGGGACTAACTTCAAGTGAATCAACTAGTGTCCAAAATTCAAAATATCCCGCACATTTTTGAATCATCATAGACTTTTGACACTGTATATACACACACTTGTTCACAGTTGCACACAAATTTTAAAATTTTTGCCTTTTTGACAGTAAAAATCCCGAATGATGCGACACAGATCCGGTTATAGTACAAAAGTTCAAAACGTAACCATTACACCCCAAATGTTAGATAAGTTTGAAACCCTAGAATTCCATCCGTTACCGTTAACTATGGGTTGGGGGCATTTGAGGTCCAGCTAAAAAGGCATGTGATTTGTACGTGCTATTGCTTGGGGGAATCTAAAGTCCAGCTAAAAAATTTTTCAATAGTAGCAGGAAACTTTGGATATTATCCCGCCAAAGTATTTGGAAACCAATAAGGGGGGAAAATAATGTATGTCCCCATATATAATATCCCCAATTCATGAACCTAATTTCTTAAAAAATACTTTCAAGCCAATATAGCCCCAATTCCTTCTGATCTTTATCCGATATATATGTCCCCTATTCCTTGCAATAAAATCGAACCCCTTCTAATTTCTACAATCCAATCAAAGCCTCCCAAAGAAATACCTTTTACAACTTCCCTCAATTGAGGGCCGATTCGAATCCGTACCCAAATACAAATTCTCAAGTTCGTGTTACATGTGTTTTCTATACCAAATTTTGTGGATTTCCCAAATTGTTAGAACAATAATTCGATTCGAACCCCCAATTGCTAGATGTTTGAGAGCAGTGTAAGTGTATCAGGCAGAAATTCGGCCATATATTGTGGGGAATGTGGAATGAAGGCTTATAGGAACAAGTCTAGAACACCCACAAATTCGGGGCGTTTTTACTTTAATTGCCCATTGCACGGTTGGCAAGCGTAGGAAGATTAAATAACACCTGACAGTCGCACCCAAAGGTGGTTTATTAAGGGGGAAGAAAGGGTTGCTGCTGCAATTGGTGGGTTTATAAGAGAAGAAGAAAGGTCTGCTGATGGAATTGGTGGGTATAATGAAAATCAATGTGGAAGGGAGGCAACCGAAGGTAAAAGTTTTTGCTGCAATCTGAAAATAAGGTTGGATGCTCTGTTTTTGCTAGTGGTTACAGTGTTGATGATGAATGTTATTTTAGTTTTAATGGTGTTGGTTGTGTTGTTGAAGAAGTAATTGTTGGATAGCAGGAAAGTTATTTTTTTTAGTTTAGTGTGGTCTGATTATTGTGCTATTGTGTGGAAGAGTGGGATGAGCTTCCGTCGAAAGAAATTATCATCTCTTCAGTAAATGCAGTAGTAATGTCTAGGTTATGGGAATGATGTTGTAATTAGAAGTAGTACTGTGTAGGTTAAGCACCTCTAGTAGTCCTTTGACTATTTTCTTGTAAAATGTCTTGCCTAATCAATTGTTTTAGTAATCCTTTCGATGCAGCTGAAGTTGAATACCCACTGGAAATGAATGTGTATCAGATATCCACTTGTTCTAAAATGTGCACCGGTATTCAGATTCCTGAATTCATAAATTACATAAATAGATCCACAAAAGACTGTAAAATTGTAAATTACAGCAGCTGTTATTCAGTACAGTAAATACTCTGAATATTTCACTTGGAGGCTGAGTTGATATGGAAGGACAAAAAGCTACTAATCATCCAGAAAAAAACATTGTACTGGGAGGAAAAAAAACTAATAATCATCCCCAAAATACATTTTCTTCCAAAAACAGTTCCACAATTGACCCGAAAAGACAGACATTTCCACGAGGAAAAACTAAACTAGCTGATCTTGAAGGCAACGGTTCCAGCAAATTGCATTAGAGCAACGTCGAGTTCAAGAGTCAATTTTGTGCCAAACCGGATGTCTAAATTCTTGAAGAGCTGCCAATCTCCACGGAGATTTATCATTCTGAATTTGAGCTTCCCCTAGAGTATATCATCACCATCCGGTTCCAACTCCATCATGACATGAGTGTCTCTGTAGGTGACAGAGGCAGCGGTTTTGTTCTGTAAGGTATGCCAGTGGACGAAACTGCTAGGGATGGGCTAAACATAAAAGAACAAACGAATTTGACAAAGAGCTGTAAGAAAGGTGGCACTAGAAACATTGTTAAATAAGAAAGAGCTAAAGAAAAGCTGGATTAGAATACTAACCAATTTTCCAGTCAACAAAACGTCATCATCGAAAACAGATTCGAAGTTGTTGTGTTTAATGGTAGGCAGAAATGTGCAGGGCAAGTCATCATCACCTGGTTGATCCAACTCAATGAATGTAAAACAATTCATGTAAAATGCAGGCATAATTGAAGTAGGAAATTAAGTAATGTAATTCCAGTACTTACTAGTACCAAGATCAGACATGCCATCTAAACCAAATAACTCCATTCCATTACCATCAAAGACAGAGGCAGCAAAACTATATGGTCCTTTGTACGTGAAAAGTACGCGTTCACAGCGTTTAGCGCCGCAATAATAATCATAAAAGTCTTTCCATTCATCATCCTGAAACACGACTACACTCTGACCACCAATCAAACCCACATCGAATATGCGCGTGCTGCCATGACAAGTGGCTATAGACACCATATCCAGTTCTAATGCAATAAAATTGCTATAGCGCCTGGCAATAACCTATGAATTTGTATATTCGTAACTGATTAGTTTAGGTGTAGAACCAATGATGAAAATTGTGTAGTTTGTGCATAGAGAGGAGAAATAAGAGTGGAATTCCTAACCCATGCTCACAGGAAGAGTGGTTAAATTCCATCAAATAACTGAGAGCAGCATTACCCACAACACGTTCAGGCATCAATTTTTTGCATCCATCTCGACTGAAAATTTTAACTTGAAAATTGCAGTTTCCCAAATAAACTAGATGCATAAAATTTCCATCTTGGATTCCCAGACTCTGAATCAACCTTTGAAGGCTTAGTCCCCCAAGTAAAGCACATCCTTTCTCGAAAATTCTTAAATCAACTCTGAATTTTCCCATAGTAGCAGTAGATAGTTGTATATGAGGTGGGACATTATCGGAAAAATATTTCCGGAGACAACTCCTAAACAAGTACAACAGGAAAAAACAAGACGGAGGAAAAAAATAAGATTTGCTTCCAACTGAAAAGTATGGAATTCAATAGTTTCACATTGGATAGTAAAATGATTCGTACCATTCCATGAGCCTACCAATCCGTTGGGACTTGAATCAAGCATTGGAATTCATCATAATTGATCGATGGGCTTCTCAACTATGTGCATATGACGATTAAAATATTAAGAATAATCAGTAAGACCGTTGAACCGATTACTACATAGGGGGAGGGGGGAGAGCAATACCAAGTAATAATCATAAAAGTCTTTCCATTCATCACCCAATCATAATAGTATGAGGCAAACCAATTACCTGTTGAGAATTAGATTCTGCTCCTTTTGGATCTTCAGTAATTTTAGATTTTTGGTTATGTAATGTATCCCCTTTCCGTTTAAATTCCCATGGCCTAGGTCTGTAACGTCTCCCTCTCCCTCTCATGACGGGCGTTGCTTGAGAGATTCAGACTTGAGAGCTTTGTGAAGGACAGGGGAATACAGGGGACTTTGGCTGGGAGCTGGGTTTATGAAGGTCTAAAAAGAATGGAACATTAATGGTTGATGGGATGTTTTTGCGGTATCGGTAGTAGGCAATGCAGATATATATCCTATGTTATCGACGAGTACACGATTTGGTCGTGTGGCATGGTGGAGGAAATCTATTATTTTGATGTGGAGGTCCCGTGTTCGACTCCGAGTCTTCACGTTTTTTGGGGATATATATTATACTCCATGGGGAGAAAGTCGCGGTCAGGGTTGTTAAAAGCGTTGCCAGGGTTCGTTTTTTAAATAAGAGTCAGGAAGGGGATTGTTAAAAGTCAAACGTTGTTGCATTTGAAAAGCAGTCCGATTGAATTAATATATATCTTTTGTTACCAATGGAGAAGTTAAGTGCTAGTTTAGTGTGGTGGAGGCATTGGAACATGTTAACATGAAGGTCACGTGTTCGACTCGACGCCTTTGTTTTTTTGGGGATATATTATTATGACGTAGAGTATCTTATTTATTTATTTCGCCGGGAAGACAAATGGAGAGCAAGTGATCTGGTGGTTCAAATTTCTCCGATTCCCATTTGCCTTATTGTGGGGTGTTGAGTTAGAGTTTTGCTTACCCATAATTTGGTTTTTTCTTTCTTTTTCAATGGATTCCAATGTTTCGAATTCATTTTTTTTTCCCAAAGGATTCTAATGTTTCGATTTCAGTTTTTTTTTCTGTTTTTTCGAAGGATTCCAATGTTTCGAATTCAGTTTTTTTTTTTCAAAGGATACCAATGTTTCGAATTCAGTTTTTTGTTTCCACAGATACCAATGTTCAAGCAGCAATTTTGTTCCTATTTAATAGTATTATTTTAACTTATAATAGATTATGTATTATTTGATAAAATGCCCCCTAAATATATAATTTTATAACTGTGATCTATTTTGAATATTATCAATAAAAATTCCAGAATCATAATTCTAATAATTATCTGATTTTAGATTATCCCATGTGTATATTGAAACTACATATTAGCAATACGGAAGAGATACTGTGTGATTTAAAAAAGAACTTCATTTCAACCAAAAAAAAAAACTAAATAGTAATACTATTGAATTCACTGTCAGGGTTCTTAAGAGCGGAATCAGGGTTCTTAAAAGCGGATCAAGGTTTGGGTCAGTAGAAATTGTTTCCATTCATTCACATCTCGATGATGAGAGTTCCCAAATCAGCCACCAATTTCAGTCGGAACCGAACTGAACTGTTGCCTATAGCCTCTGGTAATGCATTAATTCCATCCGCCCATGTATGTAATTGTAGCATGATTTTAAGTTGTGGGTTTCGTGTGTTTAATTGTGATTTGATTGTTTTACTGTTGCTTGTACTGTAGGGGGTGAAAGATGGTGGCTTCTTCTAATGATGGTAGAGTTAATTTGTACTAGTGTTCTCACGATGCGAAGGGTTTTGTTGTGAAAGAGGATGTTATGAGTGTTTTGAAAGGAACCGATTTGGAGAATCTTTTGAAATTAATAGAGCATCCCTTTATTCATTCGAAAATATTACTTGCCATTTTAGCTAATAATTGTAATCCAGAAACTTGTACTTTTAATCTTTGAAAGGATCACTCTTGTATTTTATACTTTGGTTTTTGCGAGATGTTTTACATATTACGGGATTGCCAATTGTTGGTAAACCGGTGTTGACTGTAGAAGCTCGTGGTGAACAAATTGCAAAGAAAATGTTTCCAAATTGCGAAAGAGTCTATATTGAGGGTAAATGGTATGATTTGTATATTAAGACTAAGGGGTTAAGTTTAAAAGTGTTAAAGGATTTAGCTCGAGTTGGAGATTATTCTCTTGACATCAGGGTCAGGGCTACAGTTTTATACTTATTGGGTAGCTTTGTTTTTCCCTGTTCTACTGCTGGTTATGTGTCACCTATATATGAGAATTTTGTGAAACAAGTATATGAAATAAAACACTATTCTTGGGATGAAGCATGTCTCGTTGAAACTCATGATAGTTTGAGCCGCTACAAAAATGATCAAGAGAGAAATCTTGGTGGTTCTGTTTCTACATTAACAATGAGTCGCGATTAAATTCTTCAATTAGATTAAACTGGTTGTATTTTCAGCAAGTTTATTATCGTGTTCCATGATTGTTTTGTTCAGGTTTTTGCATTGGAGTACATTCCAAAGTTAAGGGGGCTGTTCCATATGAAACTTAAGGATTGGCATAAAGAATTCCCATCAATGGGACAATGGGCTCAAAAGTTAGGGAAAGTGATGAGAAATATTCGTTTCAGTCGGGAAGCTGTCGAGGAAATTATTCGATCGATAACAGTTATAAGATGTTCATTCATATTTTTTTAGTATTTTGTAGATGTGTTTAAATTTTGGTGTTGCTGAATATAATTATGATTGTGTCATAGGAGGATATTGATCCGCACCCTTATGGTTATCTACAACAATGTGCACCGGATTATTGCATAGATCAACAGCATCGGGAACTGGCAATTGTCCCGATGTTCAAAATGATTTGTGCATGTATCATCTTCCTTATTTAGGAGAACATCAGTTTGACATTAGCCCTGCAGTTAGTGAAAGGATGCGCTCTTGGTTTGAGGGTAAATTATGTTAGCAAGATAAGTTGTGTTCCTGCCGTGAAAGGTAATGAATGTAAAAATTATTTCATAATTTGGGAAAATAAGTTGGGTAGGAATGTAGTGACACTGCGAGATGAGTTGGAAGATCAAGATTGGATTGTGCAATTGAAACGGCAGAAATAGTTGGATGATTATGTTGACAAAGGGTTGACGACAAATAAGGAAGGGAGAGTGTGCGTGGAAGATGTGTTTCGGGTAGGCAGTTTCAGGGAAGAGCAATCACGAAAGAATTTGCTAGTGCTTGATTTGAATGAAGTCCTCGTTGATGTAATCCAGCACAATGAGCAGAGGCCTGATCAATTTTGGGTGTTAGCGGATTTTTCCAACAACCTATTTTCTCGTAAACTTATAGTTGAACAACATGGTATGATATTTTCATGTGAAACTGAGAAGTTTGGTTAACTTTGTTCCATGTTTTTATGTTTCAATTTTCAAGAGAGGATATTGTGACCAGTTCCTTCAGTTCTGTTTCGATCACTTTCTAGTTGGTATCTGGTCTTCAAGAAAGAGGTATTATTCCTGAAGCTCAGTTTCCTTTTCCGTTTTTGTTGTACGGACTTTGTGATATTAAATTATTTGCTTTATTTCATTTACCTATTTGCAGGCACAATTTATGTTCCATTATTGATGTCGTACTTTCGAAAGTCAAGGACAAATTCCTATTTTTGGTCGTAAGTTAGTTGTATGAAAGGGGTTTGAGTAAAAGTGTTGATGTGTCATCAGTGGTTAGGGACTAATGTTGGTTTCTTACAGGACCAAGAGCTTTGCTCTACAGAAGGACCCATCCATCATAAAGAATTGGAAAAATTGTGGAGATATTTGAAGGAAAAGGGATTGGGAGATTTTGATACTTCAAATACTTTGTTGGTTGATGACTCGAAACAAAAGACAACAAAGAATTCGGTAAGATGTTGCCATTGTGTATTTTAGCCAATCATTTTACAGCTTCTAAATTTGTAACACCCGTTTTGCGCTTTGTTATATATCAACCAAGAAATGTATTAATTGTGAAGACTTTTACATACCAGGAGAAAATTATTGATGTCGTTCTGGGTGAGATGGTTAAAATGAATTTGTGCTTGTTCGTCTACTCTATTACAATAATAAATCACTGTTTATCACACTGATTCAATGTCATTGTAGAACCTGGTGGGCATATATGGTCATATCTAGAGCATCTATCTACTACATCAAAAAATGTTGCAAACTCTGCGGAGGCATATCCATTTCACAATGAATTTTAGGTGGGTTTTTTATTGTAATATTTGAGTGTGTCACTCCATATTAAAGTTTGTCTGCAGTGGGTGATTGATTTTACTTTATTTGGCAGTAAAAAAAATTCAGAAAAAAAGTAATCTCGAGAGTTCAGAAACCTCCAGATTATACAAGTGCGGCAAATTTGAACTCTCAAGCCCTTGCCAATCTCGAAGCTAATGAAGTGGTTATCCCCACCTGAATATAGAAATGTGCAATTGCCATGCTTAGCAGAAATCAATGTGTTATGATTATGAATGCCAAATATTTCTGTTATCCATTTTTTTCATTTTTCCCTGATTAAGATCCATAAGTTCCGCAGTTATAGTACTTTGTGACGGTTTAGTTACATTAATACAATTATAAACAAGATGCCACATATAAAACAGAGTAAATTAGATAGAGGAATCAGGCCATAACCATCATACTACAATGGCTAAATGGACAATTTCCAGCGAAAAACATATCAACTATTAATACAATTACTAAATTAGGGGGCATAATGTGGTTTGGGTTGTCTTCATTTTCGAACTTCCCCATATGCAACATTGCACTGTTCCGGTTAGGCTGCCTGGTCCAACACCTTGCAAGCCAGAAACAAGTCCCTACATTGTTACGCCCTGACAATTCATTATAATGTTGACATCTATATATTGATTTTATGAAGCAGAATTCAAATAACCACAAATAAGAGGAACTGAAATTTGCTGAAACTGGAAACAGGTACTGACCTAGGTGATCAGGGGTTCATGTATGGATGCGGAGGTCCTTCCAACTGACATGGAGGTGGGATTTCTTAGATGGTATCTGTGTGCAAGAACTGCACATTTGCTCTCTACATCAACCTTGTTGCCAGCACTGGAAAGAACCATTCTTTCACCCTTGGATTGGTGATATAGATAGTAATCTGTTCTCTGATGACTTGAGCTACATCAATGGGGATGTTTCTTACTAGGGCATAGAGCATGAGGGCCATCTCATAGGTTACCTTTTTGCGAACTCGTAGTGGCATGATGTTTGTACATATCATATTGTACCACTGCATAT